GGGTGCTGTGTGTGTCTGGCTGTGTGTGTCTGGGGTGCTGTGTGTGTCTGGGGGTGCTGTGTGTGTCTGGGTGCTGTGTGTGTCTGGGGTGCTGTGTGTGTCTGTGGGTGCTGTGTCTGGGGGTGTGTGTGTGTCTGGGGGTGCTGTGTGTGTGTCTGGGGGTGCTGTGTGTCTGGGTGCTGTGTGTGTCTGGGGGTGCTGTGTCTGGCAGTGCTGTGTGTGTCTGGGGGTGCTGTGGGTGTCTGGGGGGTGCTGTGGGTGTCTGGGGGGTGTGGGTGTCTGGGGGGTGCTGTGTGTGTGAGGGGGCTGTTAGGGAATTTATTTTAAATATTTTTAATTTTATTTATTAATTTAAAAAAAAAAAGTTATGTCCCCCCCCCTCCTTACCTTTATCCTGGGGGGAGGGATGAAATCCGTTCTGCCTGGGGGGTGGGGTGGAGCCATGCTGTCATGCTTCTCTGGTGGTCCAGTGGTGAGAGTGAACTCTAACCTGCGGGTTAGAGTTCACTCTCGCGAGATCTGAGCGTTGCCGCGGCAACGCTCAGAATCCCGCGAGAGGACCCGGCGGAGCTGCTTGTTAGAGCTCCGCCGGTCCTCTCTCCTGCCTCCCTCCCCAGCCGGCGGCCGCATCTCCCTGTTTGTGGGCCGGTGAGGGAGATCTTTGATCTCCCCACCGGCCCATGGAGGCACACAGCAGGGCCGGCCTCGGCCCATGGCCATCGCGGCCCACCGGGCATTTGCCCGGTATGCCCGATGGCCAGTCCGGGCCTGAATTGAATGACCCTTGAGTTATGAAATAGGAACCGAGGGTAACTTAATCGCATAGTACAACATAACAGTGAGTACAATTGTTTGAAATATAACTAACCAGAGTGTGTGTGAATACACGCGATCACATGTATATATACGGTGTGATCCTTGTCTGCAGGTAGCACGGTCCTCTAGGGCAAAAACATGCACAGTCTTTCAATGCATATACTCCAGGCACTTTATTTGAAAATCCACACAGGATACAGCAGTAAATGAAAACATAAATGTAACAGAAAACCCTATAAACAAAAACCTAGCTTGTCTGAGCACTAACTGACATTAGGTTCCCTATCTCTCAGGGTTAAACTAAACAAAACAATATTGCACCAACCTTATTAGATAGCAACACTCTGCTAGCTAGCCTGTTGCTTTCCTTTCTGCACTCCCAGTGCTCCAAGCCAGCCTTGCCCTGACTGTTTTCCTTTCTGCACTCCCAGTGCTCCAAGCCAGCCTTGCCCTGACTGCTTTCCTTTCTGCACTCCCAGTGCTCCAAGCCAGCCTTGCCCTGACTGATTTCCTTTCTGCACTCCTAGTGCTCCAAGCCAGCCTTGCCCTGACTGCTTTCCTTTCTGCACTCCCAGTGCTCCAAGCCAGCCTTGCCCTGACTGCTTTCCTTGACTCTCTATATGGAGAGAACAGCCTCTCTCCTACCTTCTTCCTGGGAGGAAGCCAGCAATCCCTCTCCTTTACCTGCCTAGCAGGGAGGAGTTTATTCCCACTGCAACAGCTCATTAACTGCAGCTGAGCAGTGGGTTGGAGACGATCCAAAAAACCCTGGCCTGGATCCATGTCTCCCCAGAAAACCACTAAACTGTGGAGTGGAGCATTGGCCCACCCTTCTCTCCAAATGCTCCACCCCAGGGGCCCATAACTAAACAGTGTTTTGTGTTGCCTACAACACATCCTACACATACTCCCCCTGGGGTTAAATGTTGTAGGCCTATCTGCCTTCACTTTATCACAACGGGTATATATACATGTGCTCACGTGTATTCACACACGCTATGGTTAGTTATATTTCACGCAAGTACACGTGAAATATAACTAACCAAAGCTTGTGTGAATACACGCGAGCACATATATTTATACGTATAAGCAAGTGTACGCAAGTACATGTGTACATATACGTATACGCAAGTGTACGCAAGTACATGTGTGTGTATATATACGTATATGCAAGTGTACGCAAGTATATGGATATATATATATATATATATATATATATATATACATATACAAGTATAGTGGCACTCACCCTTTCAATGAATCAGTAAAAGACGCTGGATATGTAAAGCAAAAAGGAAAGAGATGCACTCTCAGGTCTTTATAGAAAAAAACTCGATATTATTTAATAACAGGTAACATACATCTGATCAAAGATATATACAATATATATATACACCCCCACCTACTATATACCCACATATATACTTACATATTTAGATATGTATATTTGTATAGCATGCTTCTCTACAGAACTTGTGAGCCTGGCAGAAATTATTACAATCAGTTGCGATACCTATTTAGGGGAGCCAAATTTAATTAAATAGTATAAAAATCGATATATCTAAGTAAGGGGCCTAATACCGTAAGCTGAAAGAGGTATTGCTGTAATGCTATGTTGATGAAAAGCTGAATTGTACTAATAGTGAAATTTGCCCTGAATAAACAAAACATACAGTTTGAGAAACTGTTAAATAAGTCGCAGTTTGTCAGCCATGGTAGCTTCTATGTACGAGGGGGGAGTGGCTTAACTTAATGATGACGTGTTAGTACCATAATTATAATATATCCCATATATCTGATAGGCGTGTAATCTGTAACCTAATTTACTTACCCGTTGGATATCTTGAATGTACAGAAACACATACTTAATATTGATTTATGTTTTAAAGTTATAGAGTTACATTGCTGAAAAGAGACTTGCATCTGTCAAATTCAGCCTTCAAATGTAACGTATGCTCGAATGCTTATGGAGGACCCTGCGAGGGTCAGCGTAAAGAGATAGCCCCTTGTTAAAGTCAGAGTTCTGAATTGTATTTTAAGACGTAAAGGAGAACGGTGAGGTCTTGAATTTGATATAAACGTGAATGAAATGTAATGTTGAATACCTAAAAACACAAATTCATAGGGTAAAATTGTTTATATCATTCTGTATATGACTTGCTGATGACCTCTACCTGAATTTAATTTGCAATGATTGTCATATACGTGTTTACTGATAACCTAGAGCAACTTCACATACCTAATATTAGTTTAACACATGATATTTCAATACAGTATTACTGTAACAGAAGGAACTTACCTTTACCTAATAGTACCTGCCACATTCAGTTGCAAGAAAAAGTATGTGAACCCTTTGAAATGATATGGATTTCTGCACAAATTGGTCATAAAATGTGATCTGATCATCATTTAAGTCACAACAATAAACAATTACAGTCTGCTTAAACTAATAACACACAAAGAATTAAATGTTGCCATGTTTTGATTGAACACACCATGTAAACATTCACAGTGCAGGTGGAAAAAGTATGTGAACCCTTAGACTAATGACATCTCCAAGAGCTAATTTGAGTGAGATGTCAGCCAACTGGAGTCCAATCAATGAGATGAGATTGGAGGTATTGGTTACAGCTGCCCTGCCCTATAAAAAACACACACCAGTTTTGGGTTTGCTTTTCACAAGAAGCATTGCCTGATGTGAATGATGCCTCAAACAAAAGAGCTTGCAGAAGACCTACGATTAAGAATTGTTGACTTGCGGGGGGGGCGGAGCCAGCACCCAAGCGAGAAGGACGCAAATCACAGTAGCTCCGTCAAGGAACTTACATTAAAGCCGAATTTTGGCGATAAACGGCACATCTCACAAGCCACCCAACGCTCACTAAGTGCCTCACGTTATGGGCAAGAAGACTAAGAAGCATAAAACCGATCCCGGCCCTAGATCCGGAGACATTGCAGCTTTTCTCTGCTCGGCCACGCGGCCGCGGTCCGACCTCGACAAGATGGCGATGGCGAGGCCTACACCTCCCCGTCATCGGACGAAGAGAGCCAGACAGCGGTCTACTTACCTCCACAGAAGGCACACACCAAGCCGAAGACACCCTTGGAGATGGGGGACTCGGCCCCCGCCACTAAAGCCGATATAAAGGCACTAACAAAAGATATACAGGCAATGTTTCAGGCCGACATGGCGCTGGTCAGGGAGGAAGTCTCGACGCTCACAAGCCGGATGGTGACCGTGGAGGAGAGCCTCAGAGGAGCGGGGGTTGCACGAACTGCCACAGACTCGACCCTGGGGTCTCTACAGAAACAATGTAGTGCCCTGACTACACAGCTAACCCAGATGGAAGACAGGGCAAAGGCAAGGAATGTGAGGATCCGAGGTGTCCCTGAGTCGGTCACCGGTCCCGACTTACCCCATTATTGCAGACGGCTGTTGGCCACACTACTGCTGCCCAAACAAGTGAAACAGATGGGAGTGGACTCATGTTTTCAACTCCCAAAAGCCACCAAAGCACCTCAGGGGGCCCCGAGAGACGTGCTTGTCAAATTCAATCGGGACTCTGACCGGGGGGCTCTCATGGGAGCCACCAGGGCCTCCCCCACGGTCCCCTTTGAGGGAGCACAGCTGACTTTTTACAGAGACATATCTAGGCACACGTTGGCATGGAGGAGATCTATTGGACAGCTTACTCAGCAGCTTGTTGAGAAATCCATTACGTACAAGTGGGGGCAACACCGGCTATTGGTGGAGAGAGAAGGCAAGACGCACATCCTCACACATAAATCAGAAGCACCAGCTTTCCTTCGAGCCCTGGGCCTACCAGCCGAGGCAGCCCCGGCGGTCACCAGCCATACATGGACTATCGCAAACATCAGCCCATTTGTGCCTAGGGGAACAAGAATGAGCACGCCCGATTCTCCTGCCTGAAACATGACATACTCTGTTTATATTGTTACTTATGGTTTTATGCTTATTATTGTACCTTGTTTTGCTTAGAAAGGTTCATCTAACACTGGAAGGCATAAATGTATGAATATACCTATGTCCCTTACACCTGGCTCCGTAGGCAACAAGCCAGCCACTATGACCAGATAAGTTTCCCCCCCCCACCACCACTCATCCTATTTTCACGTGCGATGCCAGTCTCAAGCATACAAGCGACCGCATAGCATGTGTACCAGCCAACCTGGCCGATAAGATTTATTAGGGGCTAATTACCAGGAGAGGCCTAGGTTCTTACCTAACAGTGAGAAGGAGTATACTATCCAACACTCACGCGCCCTAAGTGATGTGAATCCCAGGCATAGCTGTACCAGTCCACACCGAGGGCGCACACGTTAACGTTAACGACAGGCTACCTCCAGTCAATAACCAGCCTAACCGAATGTCCAGTTATGAGGAATTTATGTCAGTATTTTACAAGAAATTGGAAAATATAAGCATGTGCTGATGTTTTTACTGCAAACTGTAACCTCTGTTGACAACCTTTAGTGCACATAATGTAAACATGATGTTTTTATGGCTTCCTGCAAAAATAAAGAATTTTAAAAAAGAATTGTTGACTTGCATAAAGCTGGAAAGGGTTATAAAAGTATCTCCAAAAGCCTTGCTGTTCATCAGTCCACGGTAAGACAAATTGTCTATAAATGGAGAAAGTTCAGCACTGCTGCTACTCTCCCTAGGAGTGGCCGTCTTGTAAAGATGACTGCAAGAGCACAGCGCAGACTGCTCAATGAGGTGAAGAAGAATCCTAGAGTGTCAGCTAAACACTTACAAAAGTCACTGGCAAATGCTAACATCCCTGTTAGCGAATCTACAATACATAAAACACTAAACAAGACTGGATTTCATGGGAGGATACCACAGAGGAAGCCACTGCTGTCCAAACAAAACATTGCTGCACGTTTACAGTTTGCACAAGAGCACCTGGATGTTCTACAGCAGTACTGGCAAAATATTCTGTGGACAGATGAAACCAAAGTTGAGTTGTTTGGAAGAAACACACAACACTATGTGTGGCAAAAAAAAGGCACAGCACACCAACATCAAAACCTCATCCCAACTGTGAAGTATGGTAGTGGGGGCATCATGGTTTGGGGCTACTTTGCTGCGTTAGGGCCTGTACGGATTGCTATCATTGAAGGAAAAATGAATTACCAAGTTTATCAAGACATTTTGCAGGGGAACTTAAGGCCAACTGTCTACCAGCTGAAGCTCAACAGAAGATGGGTGTTGCAACAGGACAATGACCCAAAGCATAGACGTAAATCAACAACAGAATGGCTTAAACAGAAGAAAATACACCTTCTGAAGTAGCCCAGTCAGAGTCCTGACCTCAACTCGATTTAGATGCTGTGACATGACCTCAAGAAAGCGATTCACACCAGACATCCCAAGAATATTGCTGAACTGAAACAGTTCTGTACAGAGGAATGGTCAAGAAAATTCTCCTGGGGCGTGGCCTGTACTCCGACCGAGATGGCCGCTTAGACTCTGAGCTCCGCCGCACCCGTACCTTCATACAGCGATCCCACATCAGCCAGTGCGACAAATGGGTCGCAACCGCCGCTCCGACCACCCGCAAACCCAGAGGGATCCCCAGCCGGGCTCGCAGCAGGGACCAATGGACGGCTTTCTGCAGCCGCCACGTGGTAATGGCGGCGGGAATGAAAGCCCACCCCCGGCCGCACAGCACTCAGCCCAGGCACCAGGGGGTGACCCCACGGCCATAGAAAGGATTGGGGAAGAGCTGAGGAACATAGCAGCAGCCATGGCGACCAAGGCAGACCTCCTAACCCTGACCACTACCATTCAGGACGCCCTGAGGGCAGAAATGGCGGGGCTCCGCACGGAGGTGACTACCCAGGCAGGCCGCATCCAGGCATTGGAGCAAACAGCAGAAACCCACTCTACCAGGATCAACGCGACGGACGTCGCCATAGCCAGGCAAGGGGACATGATCTTGCATATGCGCAGGAATCTGGAGGACCTCGACAATAGAGGCCGCAGGTGCAACATCAGGATAAGGGGGATTCCTGAAGCTGACGAAGGAGAAAACGCGGCAGAGGTACTGACAAATCTATTCCGCACTATCTTACACACCGATGCACCGCAAACGTTCGAATTTGAAAGGGCACACAGGGCCCTACGCCCGCGATCTGCTGAGGATGGTCCAAGGGATATGATCTGTTGCCTGCACTCGTTCCCTATCAAGGACACAATAATGAGAAAGGCCCGGGAACGCCCCACGTGGCCCTTCCAGGGCACTCAAGTATCCCTATACAATGATCTCTCTCCATACACGCTGGAAGCTCGGCGAGCACTTAAACCGATAACCACTGCGCTGCGTGAACGCAATATTAAATACAAATGGGGATTCCCCTTTGCCTTAATGGCCAGACACCAAGATAACTGGCTGGCTGCCAGATGGCCTGATGAAATACCGCGACTCCTTGACACCTTGAATATGCCTCATATCCAGTTTACTGACTGGCTGCTGGACACCTCTAGGCCGGTCCAAAGGCAACAAAGAGCAGCCCGCAGACGGGGAGAGCGATCACCGCCCGGACCTCCACCACGGAGACGCATGGGGAGAGGAGAACAGGCCGAGTGAGTACAGTACATCATGCCGACGACCGGCTCCTGGCAGCACCTGAAAAGGTAATACACCACCTCTGACTTACACACGGGTCCCCCCACCAACCGACAGAAATCGGAGGACAAAGGGAGCCACACGCACTTGCCTAAGGGGGGGGGGGGTTTGGGGGAAAGCGGACATTTCGCCACCCTCTCCCCTCTCCACACATGCACATGACAATTATAAAGTTTATTTTGGGAGGAGGGTTACTGGGGTAAGGGGTAAAACGGGACTGCCACGGGTTGTGATTCCGAGGTCAAGGATGAAGGGGATTTGGTCTTCGACATGACAATCCGGCGACACAATACCCAAAAGTAGCGTTCCACATGACGAAATTGTGTCCACCAGGGGAAACGTGCATGGGCCTTTTATATTGGGGGAGATGAAAAATGGGACTCTGGAGGGTTTTCTGCTCCGCCTCTTTGTGTTCATTTAAGCACCCCTTGGACACCTTTGGGAGGGACGGGAACAGGGGGGGCGGGAGAACACAACGAGACATTGGGACACTATACGCTGGGAGGCGACCGACTACCCAGCCACTACTGGACCACCAGGCCGCCGAGAGATGTACTGGTATCACCATGTGAGGCTATACCCTGTGTTGCCATTAACCCCCACGCCCGGATACGAACTGACATATGCTCATGGGATGTAAGAAGGGGTCATAGACAGGTTACCGGAATAGAAAGCTCATATAGTATTCAGCTAAGGCCCTCCTTACGGCTGAATGGCGGGGTCCCAGTAAGGCTTCATTGCATGGACCAATGAATAATATACTACGCTGAACCCCCCCACATGAGTGAAGGGTAGACTAGAGACAACCAACCAACAGGGCACACTGGGACACTGACACGTAGCCAAAGACAGACGAATATTCACGACAGACAAATGGGAACTACCCAAAGATCAACCTTGGGAAATAAGGGAGGGGGTTGAGACCTAGGGAAAAGGACCCATAAAGTTACGCTCACATGGGCAACCCCACATGACAGACAAATACAGGTAGGGCGGGAGAAGGAAGTAGGGAGAAGACGACTATCCCAAAGCCAACACCCATACTAGAAGCTATGAGACGACAAAGGGGGGGAGGGGGGAGTCTTTTAAAAATTTTAAAAAAACAAAACAAAAAAAACAGGGGAGCCCTCACACGCTAAATGATATAGACACCACCCATGAAGAGCACGACTGTCACGGGTCCACGGGGGGGGGGGGCGGGATGTCCAGCTAGACGAGACTTAGACAGCTACATAGTGATAAGGGACGGAATATGCTGCCGACGCTGGGGGCGCCACTTCCACCACCCCCCAATCACGTACTGACACCGGGTACAAACCTAAGAGGCCCACAGAGGGATACGACCGTGGCCCATATCCTGTGACCTGAGAAGCAATGAGGTGACGTAGGGGAGGGGAGAAAACACCACGTTAGGTGGAGAGCTGATAGTAGCAATTCCCCACTCACACCTTGGGTGACTTGACGTATAACCCTGCGACAGCTTGGGGGGAGGGGGGACCTGGAAGGGGGTTCGAGACACAAGCCATGGGAGTTCCCCTGGCTCACACTAAACTGCCAAGGAGCCGGGATGAAACGCAAATACATGTGATCTTGCTTATGAAAAATATACCCGATATTGTTACACTGTTGATTTGGGCTTTGGCCAAATGTTTGAAATGGATCTTATATACTACTCAAGAATGTTAACTATCACGGGAAGCGGCGGATACGAGCTCTCCGAAAGAGACACACACTCTTTTCCACTTGGACGGGTACGGACCACTCACCTCACACCACACTCGTGCCCATACACATACGGCGGAACCCCACGGGCTCTGACCCTCTGGTCTGGTTACCAAGGCGAACCCACGGGGCTGCTGTCCGTAGCACGAGCCACCCCTTCACCAGGGGTAGATCAACCGAGATATCTCCTATCCCGGTTACAGTGCCCATCTATCTGGGCAACTGTTCACTCTCTCTTCTCTCTCCCTCTTCTCTATCCCTAATCTTCTTCTCTGCTCTTCTACTACTCACTCTCTTTTATATCATCCCCCTCCCAGCCCTTCCTCACTACTGCTCCTTTATCTGGGGGGGCACGGCGGGGGTCCGGGTCCCTAGCGCGGGCTGAACACAACAAGGGGTGGGCACCAAGGGATGGCCAACAGCGCTGCATCCAGGGACGCGAGAGCGTATCGCCCCGCTCCCCTGACTGTCCTCACCCTTAACTGTAGGGGCCTGAATGCGCCTGAACGAAGATCTCACATATTGCGAGAGATGAAGAGAAGGCACATACAAATCGCGCTACTGCAGGAAACACATTTCCGAAAGAACGCCGCCCCCAAACTCCAGAATAGACACTACCCGATCAACCATTTCTGCGATCACCCTATGACCAGAAAAGCGGGCGTTGCCATATTGATTGCTGGAGACCTGGAATTTCAACCGCTGGACAGCATGCAGGACGACCAGGGTCGCTTTTTATTTCTAAAGGGGACAATTGCAGGGCTGCTCTACACTCTCGCTAATGTCTACACACCCAATAAAAGACAAGCTCAGTTCCTCAGGACAACGCTAGATAAGCTTAAAGGTTTCTCCGAGGGCACGCTAGTCCTTGGGGGTGACCTTAACGCAACCCTAAACCCCATCGTGGACTCATCGACGGGCCACAGTAGCATCAACCAACTTCATATACGCTCCATACAAAGGGCCTTAGGAGATATGGATCTCGTGGACTGTTGGCGGACTCTCCATCCTACTACTAGGGAT